AGGCACATGGCTAGACCCGTCGGTCTTTAGATTAGCTTAGTGCTAATTATGAACTCGTTGGTGGGTTATTCAACAGACAAGACAGTAAGAAAGGACAGCATCGTGAAACTGTAACATTATCCAGGTTCTACGCGGTTAAGCATAGAGACCGATCCAAAAGGGGTGAACGTTTTTGCTCACAACCCGCACCAAAATCAACCGAAACTTTGAAAGTTTCGAAATGACTTCGAAGGCGGAGATTCAAAAGCGGTGAATCCGAAAAGCTAATAGAGGCAAAGTCCTCAGTCGCGATGCACTGCGATAGGATGTGAGGGGAACCCTAGGAATGCAACTATGTACAGATATAGTGTTTCCAGATTGGTCCCATTGATCTCTTCAGCTTCTTTTGAAAATAATTGCATCGCAATCCCCTTACTGATTCCTCTCCAAATCTGATCAGACCCGCACCCGCCTGTAGATCACGGGTGAGATTGGGCGCGGTTGGCGGGGGTGAGTCCCGAAAAACGTCCAATCAGACCAACTGTGTAGATAACGCCCCGGGTTGTCAAATTGAAGTCTACTGATAGATTCACCAATGACGAGTTTCCAGAATGCATCCGGATTAGCATCCTTGGTCCGAGATTGCGAGAAGCAGCAAACGGTTACGAAAGGTTATGAAAGCAACCCGATTCAAGAATTCATTCAACAGTCGTTACCAGAATGAGATGCTCTGAAAGGAGAAGAGGGAGAGATGTAAGGACGACTTTCCAATCCGGAGGGGCATGTGACTCCGTCCCAGCTTCCCACATCGGTCATATACCACAACCACGTACTCCTGCACGATCACATTCCACGCTTGCCTTCCACAAATTGGCCAGATGATGTGAATCATGACGCAGGAAGTGGACCCATTAAACTGAGACGGGGTTTTTTTGTACTTCTCCGCAAGTTAACACTGTGGTAATCCAAAGCGAGTCATCAGGCACTGATACTCCTGGCTCTGCAAAAGCGAGCTGGTGGGTGAGAACCGTATCGGCTAATGAGAGAGGTGATGAGTCCGTGAATGCCATGCCAGGTTGGATGTCAGAGAATGGGCGGGTTGCAGCATGGACCTAGCTTGAGGAAGTGGAAAGATAAGCGAGGTGTTCTCTCGCATAACTAGCGCCATCTGCGGAATTCAAACCCAAAGTCCTAGATTCGAGAAGGTGACACATCTTTGAGCTTCTTCAACAGACCGAAGTGTTGTAGCTGTGGTAAAGCTTCTTCGTCGACGTTCACGCAAAGCCAAAACAACGAAGCAAACGGTTATTTTGCAGGACGCCTGCCTCTAGCCTAGTTCCCCAAGAGACCAAATTGAGGTCTATGGTGGGATCGTCCCATATCAAGCTGAAGATGAACCTGAAAATTTTGAAATCGCAACAAAGACCTCGGGGGATTGTTTGAGACACCGGGTTTCCGCAGATGGCGTGCGTACCCTCTCTAGTTCAAGAACACGCTATTACTAGTGCATTGTATTACACATACTCATTTCACCATCTGGGAAGTGGATAAGTGGCGAAACACGGTATTCAGATGAAATCAAACCTCAAAAATACTAGTGTCAAAAGATCGGCAGGATCTACAACAGAAGTTGAACTTGGGAGGGTAAATCAACAAACTGAGACATCTGGCTGTCCATCGCCTTGGGCGTTGGGCTCTGATGAATTGTGGACTACAGAAATTCTCCTAAAAGGTCAACTCCCCTGCGTGATTTAAGGATCTTCAGCCAATAGGATACCATACTATCATTCCACTAATATCTCAAGTGTTCACTCTTAAAAGGTGATGGAAAACTCAAGTCAGACAAGTAAAATCTCTCGGGAACAAGCCTTCCCTTTTTTGCCCAAGACGTATCATATAGGGCCCCTCTTACACTGGAAAAATGTCCCCCAAAAAAATATGTGCCATTCTCAGTTGCCAAGTTGACCGAGTTTGAAGTTTTGTAAATAAGGATCACACGACCAGAAGTTGGGCCACGAGGGCATTTAGGGCCATTAAGAAGCCACTTTGGGGTCCACGGCACCTGTCTAGAACAGCCCTAGAGACAAATAGGTTGTTCTTTCATATAATCTTTCTAGATCTGATTGGATGTAGAAAGTGAACGGAGGTAGAATAAACAAAGGAAGACTTGGAAATGCTTAGCCTGTTCATCTCCTACAGGACTCGCCCCACATGGTCGAAAATTCTTATCCTCACAGATTTCCCTTTTCTTCTCTTTTTTTTTCCCTCTCATAGAGACACCAACTCTCTTTTTTTTTCTCAGTAAAATGACTCCAGCATGACTGGCTTGCCAGGTCGGGTTTGAAACAGATTCCGATTTTGAATTTAGCAATGGCAGAGGACCTGCAACTGAATGGCACCGAGCGCATTTGCGTTGACGGGGAGGTCGCCTTGATTCCCTCACCCACCAATTCTCCAAATGATCCACTGAACTGGAGCATCTGGAGACGGTACTGGCATTCACTTTTAGTCCTTGTGTTTGTCGCCCTGACCTCGGCAACCGCCAATGATGCCAGCAGCGCGGGAAACGGCATGAACGCTGAGCTGGGTATCACGTGGGACCAGATCAACATTGCCGCGGGCGTTTTGTTTGTCGGCATTGGATATACCACACTGCTCCTCGGCCCAGCGCCTTTCTTATATGGAAGACGTATCTCCTATCTGATTTGTCTGGCGTTTTCCGTCATCGTCTCCATCGGCCTAGCCCTCACGCAAAATGTCGGAGACAACATCTGGAGCCAACTTTTCGTAGGCGCCTCCGAATCCTGCGCGGAGGCGCTTGCCCAGCTGTCTCTTTCCGATCTGTTCTTTCAGCATCAAAGAGGGCTGGTACTTGGATTATACGTTCTTGCCACGAGTATCGGTACATTCACGGGACCCTTGGTGTCCAGCTTTATCGTCGACTCTCCTCTGGGGTGGAGATGGGTGGGCTGGCTTGCCGTCATCATATCCGGGGGCTTGTTCCTTATCTTTTACTTCACATTGGAGGAAACGTCTTTCGATCGGAACAACCCCATTTGCGGACATGATGCGCCTCCTGTTGGGGCTAAGCCCACGTCGAATGACCTCCCGCTGGAGAAAAAGGATGAACCGATCGCGAGCGTGCAGCGGGCACCCTCCGACCGTGAACTCGACGAAGAATGCGGCCAGGAAAAAAGAAAGTCTTATTTCCAGCGTATCGCCTTGATCACCCCATCGCCAACTCTGGTCGGAACGGGCTTCAAGCAGTATTGTCGGCGCCTGTTCCATACACTGCGCGTCTTCACCTTCCCGGCAGTCCTCTACTCGGGCCTTCAATGGGGTGCCCAAGACGCCTGGCTGACCTTCTACCTCACCGTTGAAACGGACAATTGGTACGATGCACCTTGGAACTACAGCGATGCCGCCGTGGGCATCATGAACGTGCCGACCCTAATCGGATCGGTCCTCGGCTGTATTTACGGTGGATGGTTCTCCGACTTCTTCGTCATGTGGATGGCCAAGCGAAACAAGGGCATCTTCGAGGCTGAGCAGCGTCTCTGGCTCTTATTGCCTGTGGCCTTTATCGGACCTGCTGGCCTCATGCTGTTCGGGATTGGCTCGGACAAAGGCTGGGACTGGCATCTACCGTATCTTGGACTGGGATTCATTGGTTTCGGCTGGGGTTGTGCAGGCGATCTTAGCATGGCGTATCTCATGGATGCCTACCCGGACATGGTATTGGAGGGCATGGTCGGTGTCTCGGTCATCAACAACACTATTGGTTGTATTTTCACATTCACCGCTCAGAATTGGTTGGATGCGCAGAGTCTTGCGCAGGTTTTCATTGCGATTGGCGTCTTGAGCTTCTGCTTTATTATGACCACCGTCCCGATGATCTACTGGGGCAAGACGTGTCGGAAGCTCACTCGGAAGCAGTACGAGGCTTTCCTGCTGCTTCGTGATGGACCTTCTTAGTTGAGGGTGCATCGTAAGTCGTCATCATCGTAGTCTATTCCTGTGTTCGTGTTGTCAATGTAGTTTGCAACAATCTGTGTTTTTAAGGGCTCTAGTGAATAAGAAGGCCCCCGGCTGCTCTGAGTTATATTTACCATTTCTGCTTGTACCCGCACCAGCTATATGTTTCTGCATTTTACGCTTGCGAGCCATCTGGGAGTGGTGTTTGGCAGCAGGAAAGAGAGAAAAGGACCTTGAGAATAACAGGAGAGTCCGTGTCATTTAAGACATCGTTGTCAGTCGTATGAACACTATCCTAGTGATCAAATCTCCTTTGATAGGCCACGTCTGTGCAAAATTTGGAGAGTTGGAGACCCAACTTCGAGATGGCGCAGGTAAAAACACTTCCAATGCCCCACAGAGGAAATTATCAATCAGACCCCCATGACTTGTCTGAGAGGTAGGTCTACTTTTACTTCAGATCAACTTAATGTGTACACACAGGCTGTTCGTCAACCCTTCAACTTGGCCGGCACGCAACCTCAATGTAACAAGAGGTGTCATATTCAAAGCATAGAGTACAGAAAGGACATCGACCAGAATCGGGGGAAATATTCTCGGGCGTACGTGGTCCTCCCGCTAATTCCCAACCATCTGGGGCCAACTACACCGGTCATCTTCCATCCAAGCTTTCTTCAGGTGGGTCGCTAATTAATTTCAAGGCTACAACTAATGCATTTCGATATTCTACACACTATCTACGTGTTTCCCAAGGCTGCTCCACTATCGTTTCTGTTCACAGAGCCAATCGTTATCCCCCGATGCGGTGGCTGGATACAATGGCGTCGTGGTCGATGTGATGTTCCAGGGTTGGAGACATTGACGCACATATAAGAATAACACTAACGAGCCCATTTTTATGTCCTCTATTGATCTCGCTTGTTCACTAATCAAAAAGTCTACTGTTGATTATTCCTGGGGGTTCGCTCTTTTTTTTTTCGCAATTCTCACTGATAATTTTGTGCATCTATCGCATTAGTTCTCTCTACGGCTCTGCGGGCTTCAACATGGGTTTCAAGTCTTACTACCAATGGGTTACTCTTGCTCTGGCAGCGACTGCTGCTGCGCAGACAAGCACCAGCTGCAATCCTACGAAGCGTAAGGACTATCTCGTGTGATTCACCACGAAACCACACTCACACTTCCTTTCCAGAGATTTGCCCAGCAGACACCGGTCTGGACAAGTACCGTCTGAGCACCGACTTTACCTCCGGATCACTCAGTCGCTGGAAAACCATCGCCGGCACCGTAACTACTACCGACCTCGGCACCAAGTTCACCGTTTCCAGGCAGGGTGACGCCCCGACAATCGAAAGTGAATTCTACATCTTTTTTGGTCATGTCGACGTCAAGATGAGAGCCGCGAACGGCACAGGCATTATCAGCACCTGGGTCCTAGAATCAGACGACCTTGATGAGATCGACTGGGTGAGTCAAGCCACCAAATAAAAACAAGAAGAAAAAAAACACAACCGCTAACCCTCAAAACAGGAACAAGTCAGTACCTACAGCACGGAAATCCAAACCGACTACTTCGGCAAAGGCAACACAACCACCTACGACCGCGGCACAACCGTGATCGTCTCAGCCCCAGAAGAAACATTCCACACCTACTCAGTGGACTGGACATCCGAACGCATCGAGTGGCTCGTTGATGGCCAAGTCGTGCGCACACTCGAATACGCCGACGCTGTCGACGGCAAAAACTACCCCCAAACCCCCATGCGTATCCGCATCGGCATCTGGGCCGGCGGCGACCCAAGCAACGCCGTGGGCACGATCGAGTGGGCTGGCGGCGAGACTGATTACACCAAAGGTCCTTTCTCCATGTACGTTGAGTCGGTCGATATCATCAACTACAACCCGGCTTCGACGTACAGGTATACCGATCTGACTGGCGACTACACGAGTATCAAGGCTACTAACGCTACGACCTTGACTGACTTGAGCCCGTTGAACTCGAGTTCTAGTGTTGCTTCGAGCAAGACTTCTGAGTCAAGCAAGACTTCTGAATCAAGCAAGACTTCTGAATCAAGCAAGACTTCTGAATCAAGCAAGACTTCTGAATCAAGCAAGACTTCTGAATCAAGCAAGACTTCTGAATCAAGCAAGACTTCTGCGTCGGCTAAGGCGACTGTATCGGCTAGTGCTTCTGTATCGGCTAATACTTCTGCATCAACTAATCCTCCTGCATCGGCCAAGGCTAGCTCATCTTTGGATGTTTCTTCATCGGCTTCGGCTTCGGCCGCTGCTTCTTCTGTGAGCTTTGTCTCTGCTGCGCCAGCTTCTTACTATACTTCTATAATTGCCATGGCCCTGGGATCTCTTTTTGCTGGGTTGATTCAATTCTAGATGGTTGTGCTGGTCAGGTAATAGGTCTGGGTGGTTTGTTGGTGTGACCTGGTTTATACACGTACGACTCATTCTTGCGTTCCAACCATTCCTTTTGTGATATGCAAGAATTGTCCACTGGTTATATACACGAGGTTACAATAAAAGCTTTCTTTTTGCTCTATCAGTCAGACATGTAGGCACGGCGCACAACCGTTGATGGTACGGATGCCCAACGGGGATAACTGTCCGGGGCATTGTGGTACACTATCAAATAATTCAAGAAGTTCCAGTCAACTTCTGGATGCCGAGTGAGAGAGCGACTGCTACGGTTCTTTTAGAGGATCCTTGGTTGCAAGGTCGAGTGTTCTACGCACAATGTTAGGACTTCTTGGTAGAAAAACATCTGCTCACGATGTTACGAGTGTGTTTGGCCGATTTTGTACAGTTGAATCCGATTTGGACAAACTAGAGCCTAAATTAAAACAATAACCTTGGTTTCAGCTGAGGTGTAAATATGGAGGGACTGATAGGTTCAACTCTATGTGCTCATGCATGTTGGACATTATCCGTCCAACTACCTGATCCAAAAATAGAAGACTTGAGAAATCTTCAGCGCAAATGATCGAAAACGACCAGACTAAAAAAGAAATAGTTGTGCATCATCCGTGAATCGAACACGGGCCTCGTCGATGGCAACGACGAATTCTACCACTAGACCAATGATGCTAGTTGATGTGTGGAGATAAGAGTGTTGACTACATAATTTTCAAATCAGACTCCACTTTTCGTCATGCACGTCTTTGGCATCTGTTGAAATCTGAAGTCATAGTAGAAGACATGAAACATGAATATCATATTGAACACTAGAATTGCCTTGTGTCCCTCATTCAATAGTTTATTCTTAGGAATGCGGTGATTTATATGCTACTTTTCTTTGGAATCATTTTACCAGAAGACATACATAAATTGGATTGTCAGTAGTCCATCTGCTTAATCGTGTCAGACGATACTCGTATCTGCAAGGGAATATACGGATGCACTAATCAGACGCCCATGAGATAAAATGTAGTTGGTCATAAAGACACGAGTAAATGAACAGATGCTACAGATGCTTGAAAATGCAAGAGCAGTCAGCCCTAGTGAAGAAAAGGAAAATGGTGCAACAGAATGCAACAGAAATGGTATGTAGTGAAATCATTGCTCATCAGTGTTTGGGGGAGGAGGGTTGACGATACTCGGTATCGCCGGAGAAAAAGGAAATCGATCGTCAAAGTGGTCTAGCTCACTTCCGTCGCCACTGTACCCAATGCTATCGCGATTGTCATCAATGATGCGTCCATACTCGAGGAGAAGAAGATAAAGATAGATGTCAAGATCTTCATCGCGCAGCGCATGCTGCGCCCATTTACGACTCTGAGATGCGATCACCTCAGCCTCAAAGTCATGCTTCTTAATGTACGGCTCGCTACTTGTCAACGCATCCACGGGGGATGCTTGTGGATCCAGACCTAGGAAGTAGGTCATTAATCCGTACAGGTCATCATATCGATTATCCATGGGAATAAAGTGACGCCAGGGAAAGAGCCGGGAGTCATGCCATTCCCGGAAAATGGTTGCTTTGATCCCTAGGGATTTGCTGAGCTGAAAGGCGCGCCACCGACCGGAGAAGCTGTGACCGTCAATGTCGACGAGGTATTTTGCCTTGAACTGCTCGCTAAAATCCTGGGGTTCTTTGTATGTCCAAACATCGTCGTAGAAAGAGCAATCCGGAATGCAGCCCCACGCTTCAGTGAAACCGACATCGAAGTGGTCCAATGAAAACTTGCTTGGATAGAAGTTGGGGTAGGTGCGATAATGCCCCATGCTGCTCTCAGAGAGGATTGAGACCGTCTCTGATCTTACATCAGTGTGGTTGGTAATGTGCACAAAGCGTTGGCGGTGCATATGCTGCCAATTGTCTGCAAGTTGGACACCCCCGGAGGTGACGCCGCGCCAGAGGAGAGTGTCCGCCTTATCTCTCCACTCGTAGTCATGTCGCGAATTGTACGTGTAACGTTTGTCGTTCATGAAATACATATTAGCAGGGAAAAGGATATCGTTGTTCACGCTAACCTTACACTCGCTGAAGACTGGTATTAGTTTCCTTGTGACAAGGTTACTGGATGCCGAGAACAAAAATCCGTGGTTCTTCCCAAGAACGGGGCCGACGGTGCAAAGATCAGAGGACGCGGTGAAGTTGGTAACAAACCCACCCGAGTACGATTTGTATAGCTTATCAGCATCCTCTACAGTGATGTTGTCATTCCGAGCGGGAGAGTGAGGGTCACAGGACTCCCTGGCGAAGTCCATGTATGGTTTTCCAGCAATCGAGAACCAGGATGGATCAGCATTACTCTCGATGTTGGAATCTTCCTCATAGAGGTAGTTCATGCCCTGGGTGAATCCATCCCGCGCATCGCTGGGTAAGCTTCTGGTGAGGGCTTCGGTGCGGAGGTATTCCTGGGTCTCCTCAAATGAAACCATAACTCGCGGTTGATCCATAATGTTAAGCGCAATATCCATATCCGGAAGATATCGAGCAATGCGTTTGACCGAACTTCGCAGTGTTTCAACTCTCCATCCTTCTCCAGGGGAGTAAACAACGTTCTTGTTGCGGATTTGCACACCTGCAATGCCGTCGCTGCATTGTAGCTTGGCTGCCATCTGTCGAATTCCCGCCGGAGGAACCGCCCAAAAAGGCCGCAGATCGCCCGTGATCTGCTGGAAGTCGTCCACATTATGTGCCTTATTTTTGCGTGCAAACATGTACCATTCCTTGAAACCGGGAGGTGGGTGTCGTCCATGTGTATCACGATATTTGGCAACTGTTTGGCGGAAACTTTTCGAGCGACCATCATCATATTTCCGCCAGTTTCGGTTCGCTTCCCTCATCAGGTCCACAATAGGATGCTCATCGCGTGCATACTGTCCGAACACGGGACTCGTTGTTGCGGCAAAGAGCCTCAGACTAGGGTGACGAATCACCGAATTGTCGATAGCGTGTACGAGGAATAGGATGTTGAGAAAGCATATCGAAGTTACTGCGCAGGCCAATAGCAGGTAGAATAATCTGCGACTCCGAGGGAATGAGCGGAGCATTGAGGATGGTTCCCAAACTCGGGAGCTAGTTTCCAGTCGCACACTAAATTTCGACAATCTTGCAGGGTGAAAAGACCAAGCACGTATGCTATGATAAGGAGGTACACAATGACATGGTGATCAACCCCCAGGAGTTTAGAAGAGGGGAGAAAAGATGAAAGTCGCCCAACCGCCCCTAAGCCCCTCAACTCTCCAACGCCTGTCCCAGGGTGCCAAGGGTAGACAAACAAAATACATGGAACCTTGGAACCGAGGTCTTGGCTGGTCATTTAATTTAACTTGTCCTATTTGACCAAAGAGAACCGCTAGGGTTTCTGAGAACAGTATATAAAAACCTGGACCAGATCAGTACACGTTGGAGATCAAGGAACGTGGCCGAGCAACCTGTGAATGTGCCCAATCAGGAACCGGTGCAGATGGCCCATGCCCGTCAAACCTGAAACTCATAGATTGACATGTTTACAAGAGTATCAATCTCCCAAGGTGATGTCGAGTCTACAAGCTGAATCCATAGGATTTAGTTTCAGCAGTTAAAATGGGGGGTTCCGGAGTGGTCTAAGGCGCTAGACAGCTCAGAACTCACTAATCACCCCGCCTCCGTGAACAACACCTTCGAGTCAACTAGTCCTTTCGCACAGTCGAACCCTGTAACCGTCGTTTCACACCAACCGCCATGTAAAATAGGCTGACAGTCAATATTCTTCCCCTCTTCTCGTCTTTCTCGCTACATATACTACGGCTTATGTAGTCAAAAAAACTACATTTTCTTTATTGAAGGCATGAAGATGGATTGGCGAATGTAAAGCACTAGACTGCTAATTGTCTCTAACATGTCGCCTTCAGAGAATCAGTAGCATCGTTGTTGCTAACTAACTAAATAAGGGCAGCCCCAGGGTGAGACCTCACTGACTAAATCCTTACATAAGCCATGCCATTTGAAGGCCTTAGACATAAACCCGCAGCTCAAAGCTATCAATGCAACGCTCACACATCTTCAATTAACCCTTCTTTCCGCGCATGATTTATCCCATGCAAATGACGTGACAAAGAAATCATCCGGGGTGATTATCCCACCCGAAAATTATGGCTCTTAAACGTACTCGCGCCGCGCTTGAGGCAGATCTTCAAGCAGAGCAATCTCCATACGCCTTTTACGGAACTCCGTTACCACCACTGGACGAAGGGGTTCGCGATGACGGGTCCTTTGTGCCAATATGGAAACAGGAAGTTAGAGATGAACATGGGAGCAAACGTCTTCATGGTGCCTTCACCGGTGGATTCAGTGCGGGGTGAGAAGCTCTTACAATGATGACCTTTTGAAGGACAAGCACTTACGTCTGCTAGGTACTTCAACTCTGTCGGCTCGAAGGAAGGATGGACCCCTGCGACCTTTGTCTCGTCGCGCCAGAACCGTGCCAAGAAGGCCGAGCAGAAACGACCCGAGGACTTTATGGACGCGGAGGATCTGCGAGAACAGGAAGAAGCCAGGCAACTACAGACTGCCGATGAATTCGCCGGGTTTGGCTCGACGGAGCTAGATGCTACACGCAGAGCAGGAATTATGGACATTTTGAAAACCGGCGGAGAAACCATGGGAGTGAAGCTATTGAAAAAGATGGGTTGGCGCGAAGGCCAAGGGATCGGGCCTAAGGTGCGACGCAAAGCCAATCTGGATGAAAGCTCTGCTCCGGGTGGCGATGAGGGGGAAACATACCTTTTTGCTCCTGAAAACCCACCCATGGTTGCCTTCGTTCGCAAGACCGACCGCAAAGGTCTTGGGTTCGAGGGCGAATCGCGCCTGGAGTCCCAAAATGCTCTGCAGCCCATCCTGGATGGCGGTGAATCGGATTCCTTCTTTGGGGGGAGATTAGCTATTCAAGGGAAAGGCCGGCCCACAAAGCCGAAGGAACCCCGACGGGGAGGACTCGGAGTTGGCCCTCTCAATGACACTGGGTCAGACGACGAGGATCCTTATTCTCTGGGTCCACAGATCTCATACAACAAGACCATTGGAGGTGATAAGAAGAAGAAGAAAAAGGTCAAACCAGAACCGACGATCGCGTCATCCAACCCACTCTTGAATTCAAAGCCCGTATTTATATCAAAGAAAGTGGCCGCATCCCGCGGGATCGGAGGTTTCAGAAAGTGCCGCGACGGGCGCCTACCGCTAGATGGATTTGTTCTTGCTGACGGAATGGTGGGGTTGTCAATTTCAGAGAAGAAATACGATCCTCCTGTGATACCGGAGGACTGGAAACCAGCGAAGGACATCTCGTCCGGAAAACGAGACCAATCGAACTACGTCTCTACAGCTGACGCCGCAAAAGCCTCGTCGCTCAATCCCACGTCCAGAGCAGCACTTCTTGGCGAGGCTCAACTGCCTGGGAAGTCTATCTTTGATTACATGACCCCCGAGGCACGAGAGAAGATTGCCAAACTTACCGGCAATGCCAACTTACCTCCGGCTTTAGGAGAAAAAGCACCTGAAGGATACCAACTCCCCGAATCACAAAGACGCAAGGATCTTTGGGACCTCGTGCCAAAACTCGACAAACAGATTGCCGCCCAAGCACTAGCTCGTGCCGTTAGTGGGTGGATGCCTTACCAGGAAGATGAGAAAAAGCGTGCACGCTACCAAACATTTCTTGAAGTTAGTGCTGGGACTCGCTCTACCCTCCCAGAACGCGCGGAAGGGTCCAGCACCAGTGAATGGGTTACAGAGATGCACGAATTTGGCCGAGCCGCAGAGGTTTTCAAACCTATGTCCGGTATTATGGCATCCCGATTTACATCCTCGTCTACCGCGCCCAAGGTTGTCTCGGACGCCCCTGGCTCTGCAGAATCTGGGCTCAGTAGACCCGCTGAAAAGCCCGACGATCCTGCAGTAGCAGCTGCCAAAATTGGCATGTTCGGCGCAATGACCCGAAGCACAGTCCCCTTTTACCCATCTCGTCTTCTATGCAAGCGATTTAACGTCAAACCGCCAGAGAACGTGCAACTTGACCCCGGCGAACGGCCTGGAGCCTCCAATTTCGGGCTTGGCACGCGCATCCAGTCCGCTGGATCCCATGCTGACACTGGACCCAAACCATTAGTGTCGCAGGATATCATGAATCAACTTCTTATAGACTCGCTAGGTTATCTCCCAACAGCAGATGGTCTTGATCCATCTACAGGTGATCAATCTGCTATCGCGGCACCATTCCCAGTAGTTGTTGAACCTGAGCGCAATGATGCCCTGGAGGCAGAGCGGCCCGGTGATGCTGTTTTCAAAGCTATCTTTGGAAGCGACGATGAAGATTAGAATTGGGCTCATCTGGAAAATCCAATGAAAATTCTTGTAATTGTTTAGTGATAACCCCCTGTACAAAGTACTTGGTACAAATTAAGCAGATGTGTTCTGTAGATCATTGTGTGACTATTGGAGTCGTCCCATCGGCATAAAATGGGTAAATTGGGGGAAAATTGTGGAATGTACCCTTGTTTCCCTCTTGTTTCTGTCTCCTTTTTTTAAAATTTTCTATTCCTTTTCCTTTTGATCTCTGCCTCCTTTTGCCTCGTCTCTTACCTAGTGGGTCTGTGCTCAGCCTTAAGGGTCTAGTTCGCTTTAGAGCGTTGACCACTACTCCACGCAAGCCCCTCTCAGAAGTACTTCCCCTCCTCATATGGAGCTCCTTGATCGCAAGCAAGATGGTAAGAACTCGATCCTGAACCCGAACCCGATCCCGATCCCCAGATCCTTTATCTATATCATCATCATTATTCAAGACTGGTCACGTTGCTTGGCATCGCATGTCACACGACCCAAAGCCCCGGCTCTCATCTTCATACTATCCAAAACCATGATGGCTCCATTAACGAGAACTAATAACCTCCCTTAAACACAGGGCTGTTGCGCGTCACTTTTGTCGCGTAATGTCGACGATCAAACCCACACCCAAGAACGCAACTCACAATCAACAGCCACGAGGGCTACTGGCGACCGCCCCACGCACCCAAGACAAGGAAGGCGGCGTGCCCCAAATCTCCCTCTAAACGAGCACTACAACGAGCCAGTGCGTAACCATATGTGGCGCAGTAAGCGTCGGACCTGGACGCGCGCGCAGCTGGACCACGAGCGCATTGAGTTCTTCGAGACGCGCGTTACCGGCAGGCCGGAGATCTGGGCCGCGGTTTCGACGGCGATATCGCTGATTCGCAGCGGTGATTTGGTTACCGCGCAAAGTATTATCGATGCTGCGGGGATTACGGTTCCCACCGGGGATCTTTGTGAGGGTTGCTATGACGAGCAGGGCGTGCTTTACAGGGTTCCGCAATGTGTTGTTAGTGATCCAGAGAATATGGTTCCCTCGTCTTCGCGGACGGCTAGTGAAGATGGCGGTTCTGCTGGATATGAGGAGCCGGATGCTGGGACGCTCTCGGATGGTAAGCTCGCTACGGATGATGTTTCCGGGGACGAGTTGGTTTTACAGGATGTTGAACGCCGCCGTGAGGAGAAGGGGAAGACGAGGGAGCGGGATTTAATTCGTGTGTGTGCTCGCTTGAGTGACCGTGGGGGTCCGGATATCTTGCTTTCGGTTAGTAAGGTTCAGACTGTAGGATTTCTGGCAAAGAAGGTGCATCAAGAAGCTAAGGTTGGTCTTTGTCCTTGGTTTTGTCCAGCTCGGTTGGGTGGACTATTGCTGATTTGTTGTTTAGCTCCAGGATGATAGGCGCGTTCGAATCGCTTATCTTGGCCACTTTTTAAATGAGCGTGAACCGCTCGTTGATCAGGGGTGGAAAACTGGGCATGTTGTCAATGCTTTAGTTGTTTCCCCCGTTCGTGATCTAGGCCTTGGACACCGATCCTAGGAGTGTTGCGGAATCTTTTGAGGCATCGCCAATCGCCCACTACCAACATCACTCTTTTCACTCACTCTATCTGGATCTCCAGCGTTATGGCGTTTTTGTCATCTGATCTCTTTTTGCACAATACCCTGAGCCTTTTTGTTTACGTTTTACTCCGGTTACCACCTGGCAGATGCCATTGCACCATCTTTTCTTTACATTGGCATGATATCTCATATGGGGATATTTCACACTCGAGTGAAAGGAAAACTGGCTTCAACGTCATATCATCGCCGTTGCCTGTCGAATTTTGTGCATCTAATTACTTGATCTACCTATGGCCATGCAATGTCTCCATTTCTCTAAAGTTGCCGTGCCATCTTCTTGTGTAAACCCAGGCTACCAACCTAACCGCATAGCGGTCATCACACATCCACAATCAGTGTCTCAAGCTGTAAGAAATATGTTAGTGACTTGTTAACGAATGACCCCCCGGGTTCTTTTTGTCGGATTCCCCTCCCAATGCGAGTTTTCAGTCCTGCTGTTGATCTGAGCTCAGCATTTACCTTCCGACCCTCTATTGTGACCGATGACAGCCTTGTTGAATCAGTTATTGCAGACCATCAAAATGGGACTTTATAAGCAGTATCCCTCATGGACTATGCAGCCCGTTGCATGGCGTCTAGGCTGCTGCCGAGTTTTTTGGGGGTGAAAACCTTGGACTTACACCAAGAGACTCTCCTTGACACAGTGAACCAAGTTTTGGACATCAGAAAAATCATATCATTGGAAAGGCACAAGAACAGCTTCAGTCGTGGTAAAGATCTGTGGAAGCCAAAGCCCTCCTAGAAAAAAACTGTGGTGCGCCTGGAGACACTAGAGAATGTTATCTATCGTGTGTGCTTGGGTTATTCCCATATACAGAGGTCAGTCACGCTTATAAATCGCCCCACAGATATCTTGACAACACTGTCTTCTAAGTCAGTAAAAGATGGCATGCAACTTGGCTACCTTTCAGGAGTGGATGTCATTTTCGATTTTCCTGGTAGCGACTAGATGTACAAAGTCCGGCCGGGGTCGCTCAGACGCCTTTATATGAACATTCTTGGCGATTCACTGAAGTATACCAAGAAGGGTCACAGCTCAGTCTGCATCGAGGCCACTGAGCGCTCAAAAGGTCGCTCTCGACGCCAGGGCCTCGGTAATGTGGTGATCTTAACCATCTCGAACACGGGCATGGGTATCTCGAAGGAAAATCTTCGAAAGCACCTGTTAACTCCGTTCTCCCAAGAAGATCAGCTGTCAGTGGGGACTAATCTTGGACTATCGATTGTTTGCGGGGTTATGAAAAGTCTGAAACGGGAAAATTACTGCTCGAAGTCGATAGGGCGAAAGCACTATTGTCAAGGTGTTGCTTCTTCTCGAATGCCTAGTAAGAAATGTGTGGCTATCTGGGGAGTCGATCCGTCTCTTCTTAGCGAGTATCAGTTCTTGGCTTTCATAACTCGGCATATCACGGATGAGTATGGCCTATAGCTTGTCCCTTTGTATGCCATTGAGCCTATTGACGTTCTGTTTGTGGATGAAAGGAATTTGTTTGAAAAACAAATACACGGGTTCTAGACAGAATGACCAAATCTGCTTGGCTTTTGCTGAGAGAAAGACGACCAAAGTGATTCTAGGGCACAATCATCGCAACTCGCTGATTCTCTAAGAGCTCTCCATCAACCTTGCGGTCCACGAAAACTTCCCGGCGATATTTTGAGCTACCTCGGTATAAAGCCGACAATCCTATGCGCAGAATCATAGGCAAGTCTTAACACGCGCAATTCGTGCAATTGAGAAAGAATGTATTCCGGCAACAATGATTGCTTAACAGCAATCAGCATTTCACGCGATGAGTACAGGGCCTTCGAATCAGGAGTGAACCTTGTAAAGCCTGTTTCTTTCGAAGAACCATCGAGGCCTATTGACCAATGGAAAGCCAACAGCCGAGATAGAATTTGACGATTACTATCTTCCTTGATACACGGTTGTCACTTAGAAGTGGAAGACAACGTTTATCATTGTTGTTTCTTGTACTGGCGTTTGCGGTATCTGTTTCCATACTCTTGCTAGTTATTCTGGATGCACATTTCATGGCTGATAGCGAGATTCGATTCCAAGTTTCTTCTATTGTGCCCCTACAGATCCAGAGGCGATTACATCTACATTAAACGCTTATTGGTGGTAGAATTCACGCCAAAACTGGCTACTCTTGATGCCATTCTCAGCATCCCTTTTGGTAGAACACTTGATCATAGAGATCCTGTTGTTTAGCTTGACTTTTACCAGGTGCTCATCGAACAATTAGCATTGGTTGGCAGTTCTGCAGAGACCATAGGTATACCTCTCAGATTTTGGTAATTGCATATCTCTCAACTTGAAAGGTATGAAGAGCTGCATAAAGAAGAAGTACAGACCCCAGACCCCTAATCGACGGCTTGGATGTGCTCAAGACTCTAAGTTTTGAAGACAAATCGATGCACTGCTTGGCTGCTCGTCAGATATGTAGCCCCCATATGGTGAAGGAGATATTGTCCTCCTATGTCTTCTCACAACTCTTCTTTTGGCGGACCTGTAGAGGTATCTGTCCTATTCAATGGCGGATGCTGCCCTAGGGGCCTTAGGCTTCAAATCCAATTACCTAATCACGCATCTGGAGCTTCTGGACAAACAGTGCAAACAACTCTATCGCAAAGAAAAAAAAAAGAATTTATCGCAATCTTCGATCTGCAATTTGAATCAAGACAGTTCGATAGTCTCGAACTTTTGATTGAACTCAACTCAATTGCCTACCTTTTAAGGGAAATCTCCGTATTCCTTCACTGAGATCAACAACCACCTCCACCTTGATATCCAAGCTTCTCAATCGCTAGTTTTCTCAATACGTGAGATAAAAACCGTACCAAATGGACGGCCAAAAAACTCCATTCGTGAGGGAGCTCGGCTCGAGTGGTATGGATATTCTTTCTCCCAATTGGAAGACTAGAACGCTAATTGATCTCTCTAGACCGCAAAGTCCGCGACAAGGCTCTCGAGTCTTTAACCAAATTCGTGCAGTCTCGTACCGATCTGACCCTCGTGGATCTCCTCAAACTTTGGAAGGGCCTGTTCTACTGTATGCCCTACTTCCATATTAGCCAAGCATAAATCGCAAAAAAAACTAACCTTCTAAGGCTTCTACCATTCCGACCGACCCCTCACACAACAAGCGCTCGCCCGCGCACTCTCCTACTCTCTCGTCCCCTCCCTCCCTCAAGCAACTCTCCACCGCTTCCTGCGCGCCTTCTGGATCACCATCGGCCGGGATTACCACTCACTAGACCGCATCCGACTGGACAAGTACCTGATGCTGATCCGTTTCTATGTCGGCGTGGCATTCGAAGTCCTCCTGAAGAACAAGACCTCAAAGAACGCGGATGGGAAAAAGCGCAAGCGTGAAGACGCAAAGCACGGCCGTGGCAAGAAGCAGAAGAAGCAGGCTGAGGCCGAGACTGTTGAAGACAAGGAGGAGAAGGACAGTACAGAAGACGCCGAGGCGAAATTTCCCGATCTCGCGGCCTATATCTCCATCATCGAGGAGGGTCCTTTGTGTCCGCTGAACTATGATGAGGATCAGGCCCCGGACGAGGGAGACCCCAATTATGTGCCTATGCCGCACGGCCCCGACGGGCTTCGTTACCATCTTATTGACATCTGGGTTGATGAGTTGGAGAAGGTCCTTGAGTTTGAGGAGGTGGCTGGTGATGAGGATGAGGAGACCCCGAAGCGGAAGATCAAGGGTGATGTGCCCATTGAGCTTATTTTGAGGCCGTTGGAGAAGCTACGCGCCGAAAGTGCTTACAAGCCTGTTCGAACGAGGGCGGCTGAGGCTCTAGAGGACGAGCGGTTGTTTGAGTGGGGCGTGCGGACAAGAAAGTCGGAGGAGGAAGATGACAGTGAGGAGGAATGGGGTGGCTTCGAATGAACATCCTATAGTGTTTGAAAATGATTTGTATAAACAGACTGAATTCATTGCACAGCGTGCTAGCGATTATGTCTATCAGCCCATCCCGGGTTCTATAATACAATGCTGGTGCTAGGCTTACAGGTATGAAGGGCTACAAAATGGATTTGCATGTCTCCTGTTTCACTTGATTTTACTGTACGGCCTGATCATAGAATATCAAACGTCTAATGCAATATATCAACAAAGCACCAATTCTTTTGTGCTAGGGTATCATGGGTGGATGCAATGACCCGTCGTGTGGTGGATATATATAAAGAGGACTCCCAACATTGATAGGCCAGCTGATAGCCAATGGTGACCTTTGTCCAAGAGGCGGGTTGAAGGTACGATTCAGCGAGGACCTGCCGCCTCATAGGAGCGGCCAGATTTGGTGAGGATCGTGCCTAGTCCCTGGTGCACCTCGGCTTGGAACGATTCGAAAGGCACCCGTTCACCATCAATACTGATGTAGCCCTCCTTCTGGTGGGGAACTAGACGGAACGCAGACGCCTTGCGGACATTCAGGTCTGGCATGTCGAAAAATCGACCACTGGAAATTTCGTTCATCATGCTGATCGTTGTACCACGACTGACTGTTCCATCTATAGTGACCACGTCCATCAGGCCGTCGTCAGGCAATGCTGCAGGGAACATATTTGTATCTTTCGACATTATGGCCATATTTCCCGCATAGAAATTGCCCATGGTTTCTCCGGAAACCACCTCCCACCCCTGGGGCAGCTCGTCCGTCACTGTGCCATACTTGAGCTCTGGTAGGCCTGGGGACTCCGCAGCAATTCCGAGGCGTTTACTGTCAGCATCTGGCTCCTGTGGGCGTGTAGACCACGCAGCGTAGTGTTCCTTGATTCGTTCTTTGTCGCCAATTTCCACCTTGATGGCTATATCACAAGGCCAGATCATTAGCCGCATCAAACGGACCAGGAAACCGTATGTAAACCGGTGAGCACCCATCCAGCGAATGTTCTCAGTCCCCAAATCACACTCAGCGACGATACCAAAAGATTGCGAGAGGAAAGAGAGCGTGCGCGAATCTTTCTGGGTGATCGATATTAGGTCCAGTGGAGTTCTCAGCCCCTTGACGATTGCCAGAGCCGCAACCGAGACGCTACCAGTCCCGAAAGCATTCCATGTAAATCCGTTTCCAGAGCCACATGGGAGCAGCGCAACGGCGGTTTGCGCTAGCGCTTTTCGAGCATCTGGTCGCCTGCCCAACCCATTGAATACCTCATAGGGCAAGCCATCGCCAGAGCAGCAAACGACTGCATCGTAGGCATCGATATCAAGATTTTCGGCAATTTCAATTGCATGCCCCCTGTGTTCCGTGGTTTGTACATCCACCTGGCACTTCGCCGCGGCGAAGACTGGTGCCGCAAATCGCTTATACAAACTTGCAGCTGTCCCCTTTCCACCAAAAGGATTGACCAATACTTTTAGCCGTTTGCCGCGCAGTGCCTTTGCATAAGCCCTATCGAGTAATCGCAGTACCCATGTCTCGACAGCCTTTTTTTCTTTTTCAGAAATTGGATATTGGACGGTCGTTACGGAAATTTCGTCCTTGGCAGCAGGCTTTGCATAGGCAATGACGAGATTGGAAGCGGTAATTTCGGCACCGAGGATGTTGTACAATGGTATGGCATAGTTGGTCTCTGGTTCTAGAATGCGCACAAAGCTCGGTCAGAAGATTTCGATTGACAGTAGTGCCTGCGATGACGCGGCAGAGGGGCCAGTGCCAACTAACTAGACTGGAGCAATCCGCAGCAGCGACGATCTGGTTTAGCCGGGCGGTCATCTGCATGGGTAAGCATGTGCCCACGCGCCGGGTGTGGAGTAGATCATACCAACTATGAGGAGCAAGTCGCCGCCGATGGTCAAAGAGACAGATTCGTCAAGAACTAGCGTTGTATCAAGTGGCTCTTGTAAGGAGGAGTCTGGGGAGGACATTTTGGATAAGGATGGAGATTCAGTACATTATAGATAGAGAGGAGCGAGAGAATCTAGGAGCAGGAAGGTCAATGGTAGAACAATGAGAGTATCATATGCAGCCGCGGAGTTCCGGTGGGCCCGTGTGGTCCCTGCATTAAAGGTGCGAACTTCTAAATCGAGCACGGAGTACAGATTCGCTTCGCAGGAACGATTCAAAGATATTCATATATTCACATAGATAGTATTTGTTTAGAGGCTACTACAACACCCTGAAATTATCAAAAGACATTGTTCTTTATCCACTACTCCTGACGAGACATTCATCTCATCTGCACGATAAAGAGACATATAGGTAAGTAAACAAATTCGTCTCGAATGAACAGAACAGAAAGTTGAAAAGTGAAAGGGAAAAGGATAAAAACATCACATAGACCACAAACCGCTGGAAAAATATTGACTTATGCAGTCGCTGCCTTGAGACCCTTCAGAGAGCCCAAGCTCAGTGCCAGACCCTGGGAGCGACTTCTTATCCGCACAAATCCTGTGATTGGCCCATCATCTCCCTCCTTTTCGATGCTCAGGTTTGCTAGTGCATCCTCGCCTGGTTATATAGTCAGTTATCATATCATGTAGAAAATGGGGTGGATTATTGGGGGATTGGAAACATACCGAACACACTACGCGCGTACAGGTTCGCGCTCAGGAAGCGGCAATCTCCCTTAAGCGAAGCATCGGGCGTCAAGCAGGCCATATTAGTGCTCTCCATCAGCTGCTTGAGGAAGTCACGTAGAGTTTTGGCCTTAGAATTGATGTTGACCTTGTTCTCCCACTCGAACTCAGTCCACATGGTACGGAACTGAGTCTCGGTGCAGTGAGCAGGCTGAATGTAGTCCATGATGTCGGCATGGATGTCGTTGAGAATGACCACATGGTTCTCGGTAGAGCTGGCTCCATCATAGACAATGTTGCCAAAGATCACACCGGTGTCGGTTGACGAAACCTTGATCGTAGCCTGGACATTCAAGAAGTCGCGTGGGCCTAAATTGTTGGTGGATGGCCGCTCAACAACCTTGAGGTCACCGAGGGTTGCAAACTCCACGCACAGGTTTTGGAGAGTTTCCGTTGTTTGGTTAACCAACAGGACGTCAAGAACAATATCGAACTGGTGAACAGTGACATAGGCTTCAGCATAGACCGAGTCAGAGAAACCAGTTAATTGCACTACCCGGCTGAGCTTCGAAGAGACGTCCTCCACAGTCGAATCGCCACCTGTTGCCTTGGCAAGATCCATTTCAATCTCCTCCCCGCCCTCGACGGCGTTCTTCTTGGTGAATTGGCGAATGGGGATAGCATCGTCAACCTGGACGGCGCTCTTGGCCTTCTCCACTGCCTCCTTAGCAGCTCTCTTCTTATCCTCTACCTGGACCATGGCGCGGAACGCCTTTCGGGTGTCCTCCAAGAAAGTGGCTTCGAGCTCCTTCTTCTCGGAGAACTCGGCCAGGGATCGCACACAGGTCAAGATACGATCCACAGAGTCTTCATCAATAGGGGCCTTGACGAAGTGAGATTGACCAACGCGCATGATGGAAATCATTATAAGCATGGCCTCGGCACGGAGAGCGTTGGTGCGAGCAGTATCATGCGAAACCTCGGAATGGCGCATCACCAACTTAGTCAAAGTCGAAGAGAGCACCGTTGCCAGGTAGTAGTCGCCGTCCAAAATAAGCTGGCGCAGAGGTGGCTTCTGTGCAGCCTTGACAGCCTCGAGACGAGCAGCTGCCGCCGATTGGCTAGTGAGAGCGCTTTCGGTAGCGTATGTGCCATCTGCAAGCACCTTTCGGGATCCAGTGGGCGCGGCCTTGGAGTGGCCATTGGCCTGCTCCATCAGCAGGGCGTTGTCATCCGGAACTTCATCCAGAAGTCGTTGTTCGGATGCCAAAATTGGGATTTCACCAAGACTGGCTCTGATCGTCTTCCAAGCATCCCGAATATCCTTCTCCTCCAGGGAGTATTCGCCAACAACCCAGAGAACTCCACGGTAGACCTTTCCAGCACGAACCTCACTCAAAGTTGAAACCAAGCGGGCAACGATCGATCCACGCAAGTCAGGGAATTTCTCCACTACCTCTTTGACGAACGAAATCACATCGACGGCGGAGTTATTATTAAAGTCGGCAATGAAGTCCATCAGGAGATCAACCACGCTAGCAGCAATTTCGGAGAACTTAATGGCGCAGGAGTGTATTGACTGTACCAAGATTTGGCGATACTCGCTATTCTATGAGGATCGTTAGCACTGCTTGGTTCTGCAAAATGGCTATTTAGCCTACCTGTTCATATTGTTCGTCGACGGTCTTGGCAAGCTCTTTCTTGAGAAGCATGATAATTTCTTCTACGTTCTTGCTCGAGACCATCTCCATGGCAAGGTTGAGGGCCTTTCTCCGGACGTCAATATCAGGGCTGCTGAGAACCCGCAGGGCCTCCATGGTCAGGTCGTCCAAGACACCCTCATTGCGAATTCTGAGCTGGTTCACGCGTTCCAAACAAATGAGCTTGACGTTGTTATCGGCCTCCCGAATCGCGAGCTCGATCAGCTTGCTTGCAGCAGCTTTGACGGCTACAGGGTTGCTTGTGAGGGCGGTGAGAGATGTTGCGGCTTCGTAGACAACGGTGCTAGTGGAGGCGTCGAGGAGCTCGAGCATGAGTTTCAGGTATCGGGACTGTTGTTCGTTAGTGACCCTGACATTTTTACTTTGAAGGTTTTAAGCCCACCTTATTCTGAGTGTTCTGTACTGCATCTTTCCGGAGGAACTCCAACTCGGCTAGCTGGAGCAACTCATCTGTGTTTGGAATTGTGTCAAACGTGGTGCGCAGATACTCGAGCGCTTTTTGATGGCTAATAGACATGAGTGCCGCAAAGGCGTTGCGCTTGCAGGTGCTGTCGGTCTCTGATTCGAGGAACAACTGAAGCAACTCCGGCGCGTCGGGAATGAGGGACTCGGAGTGCTGGAAAATAGATGATACAGCCCATACTGCATTTTTGCGAACATATGCGTGACGATGTTGCAGACACGAACGCGCGGAGGAGAGGAGGGGCTCAATGAGCTCTGGTTCACGGAGTTTGGAGAGGAATCGTAGTGTGTTGCCTCGAATGTATTCGTTGGGATGTTGAAGATCGTTGCGAATGCCATTACTGCAAACAAAAAAAAGGGTCAGACAGGAAAGACCTTACAGGAATGGGCAGGGGTATCCTTACCAGACCAAGATCATCTCTTGCTTGAGCTTTCCAGTAGAGTCATGTTTGGGGCAGATTTCATAGAAAAAATAGAGTAACTTCTTCAATGACTTGCTTTTCGACGGCATCACAAAACGAATTATGTGCATGAGGATTTGCGGCATAGGATCTCCATTCAGCATGATGGTGACAATGGTCCGCATTGTTTCCAACTTGGTCTCATCGTTGCCTTTCTCCAGTTGCAGCTTCAGCTCCTGCACTGTCGGCTGGTCGGCAGTATTGTCCACATGGAGCAAACTGTAGGTATTTTCAAGAAACGACGCCATGGTGGTAAATTGGGGGGAATCGGAATGAAGGAGAGCTGCAAGTTGTCAGTTCCGGGGGATGTTTTGGGGACACATCAGCATGTAGGAATCAACACAAACAGTAGGAGTAATTCTCTCGGGAATAGGAGGTTGCGCCAGATATCAAGAGCAAGCAATTAGTATAAAGCAACACTCCTCGCCAGCCTTGAAATCATTAGATGTTAAACGAATCGCAATGGGGAGGGACCATCAACTTGTCCCTTAATCTGGCCCCCGGCGCCGTCTGTGTGGATGACTAAGCCACAGCCCGCCGCTTTTCAACTGCCACTTAAACGTCGATCGCTGTTCTCCTCATTCATTTACGACCTCTACGATTGAGATTTGCCAGGATGTCGAATGAGAATTTCTACCTCCGATACTAGTAAGGATAAAACATGAGTGAGCCCGGGTTTCCTCAGCTGCTGACGGTCCTCACAGCTCAGGTCACTCTGGGCGGTTTGGACATGAGTTTCTAGGTAAGTTTACGTTCTAGCAATGATCACTTTTTCTACTCAGTCCCTAATTTGCGCTCAGAGTTTGATCTCCGTACCATTTCCGATGGTAGCAGTGCCGCAGTGCGATATGCGAACAATTCAAACTACCGCAATGATTCCCTTATTCGCAAAGAAAGTGAGCTAGAGCATATACCAAAAGACAAGCGAACACAAACTGATAGAGTTATAGTGTGCGTGAGTGATGCGATGGTCGAAGAAGTGAAGCGCATTATCAAGGATAGTGAGATCCTCAAGTATGCATTCACATTACCTCACCGGAGGAAGACCTGCACTGACTTCACATAGGGAGGATGACTCTAAGTGGCCCCAGAAGAACAAGGACGGACGCCAAGAGCTGGAGATTCGGATTGGAAATGAGCACATCTCCTTTGAGGTAATTGACCGAGCTAGCTTATATGGAAAGGGCCATCATCTAACAAGGAAGTGTATAGACCGCCAAGATCGGCTCGCTAGTCGATGTGACCGAATCAGACGATCCCGAAGGACTTCGAGTCTTTTACTATCTTGTGCAGGACCTAAAGGCTCTTGTATTCTCACTGATCTCCCTTCACTTCAAGGTATTGTCAATCTTGCCCCCCATGCTTGGAACATCATTTGACCATTCCCTGCTTTACAGATCAAGCCCATCTAAGCATTGAGCACACAAAATGAAATTGAAGACTAATTGAGGTTTTGATTTGATGATACTCATCAGGCGTTCATTGAGGGTTTCTTGGGATGCGAGCTCAATTATAGCGCAAGAACAATGAGATTGATACCCCTCAGGCATGGCTACCTGCGATCTTTTCTGGGCAATTTAGTTGTCTTGGGCGTTTGTAGCTGCTTGAGCTGGTTTAAAAAATTTCAAAGCAAGATGCTCAAAAATATGACATAAGATAGCTTGAGAAATATGTTTGAGCTCTTCCAATTCTGTGCGATTTAGTGTTTTACATTTCGCTCCTAGATCATCTCAGTAATGGTGGCCACCAATATTTTGTAAGGTTCGCATTTGAGATCCAAGTTAGCGATGTCGAAGAGTGCACATTGAATTAGAGCTTGTTTAAGAGAAGATTGGAGTAGGTTAGGCGAGGTTTGTATCAAAAAGTTGCGCTCCCCTTCAACAGACTGCCTAATCTGCCCACTTTTGCCTAAAATGTCCTGATTCGGCTAGAAAATTGGCCATGCCTTTGATCTTTACAATGTTGTACCGACATACCCTCGGTATAGTCAAAAGCCGTTGATTGGCCGGTGGCCTGAGGCACAAATATTACATAACCAATTTGAAAGTGGCGCCGCGCCAGGCGCAGAAACAGCTGACCCACCTGGACTGTCCCCGCATTGCCCGTTCCTCAAGGCCTTAAAAGACTTAGTTCGCTGATCTCGAAGGATTCATCCCCCTTGCTCTCTTTTGTCTATTTCTCTCTTTTTGATTTGCTTTGGAGCTTCTTGCTTCGACTCAATGCCCCCTCCCCTATTTTGCAATGCCGACTCCGAGTAACAACTCGATCGCCGCGGCGATCGCCGCCCGCACGACATGTCCACCGGAGCCCGAAAGGGTCTCGGCTTGGCAAGCATCTCCCGATACTATATCGAACAGTGATCCTATCGATGCTCTTTCGCCTGAGATTCCAATTGCGTCCTCCATGCTGAGTCAATCTCATGATGGAAACACCCCCGAACCGATTAAGGCGGAAGGAAAGCCGACGGGTGTCGAAGAAGATGATCCAGTTCAGGCTACCTCCCCTGCGGAGTCAGCCTGCCTTCGCAGCCAGTCGCCAGCAGCGCCTCCGGGATCCTCGCTTTTTAACTGGGAATTCTCCAACGTTCGTGTAAGTATCGACTCCATCGGAATATTATGCCACCTTTTAACCCATCGTCATAGCTTCTGCCAAACCACACCTCGTTTCTCCGGTCAGGTAGCAAGTTTGCTGGAACTCAGCAATCAGACCGTCAAGTTTACAATGTCGATGTTGAGATTAAGCATGTGGATATGGCTGAATCCTATCTCTGTGGTTACCTTAGAATCCAAGGTTTGTAATTCGTGCGCGTTGAGACGTGCATTGATTGAACTTGGCTCAACTGATATTTTTTGTTCTCCACAGGCCTCACAGAAGACCATCCTACCTTGACTACCTTTTTTGAAGGAGAAATTATCGGTACGAAACACACTTTCCAAACACGTAATGAGGAGTGGGGTGCCTCGGAAAAGACAGACTTGCACCATTGGTCTCGGTTTCCTGCCTGGCGTCCGCTGGCTAAACAGGCCAAACGAGCGGATTTCACATATCGAAACTTTGCCCAGCGGGAACACATATTCATGAGATGGAAGGAATCATTCCTTGTTCCCGACCATCGAGTACGGACGATCTCTGGCGCTAGTTTTGAAGGGTTCTATTACATCTGCTTCAACCAAATCGAGGGAACTGTGAGTGGTGTTTATTTCCATGCGAAGAGCGAGCGGTATGTGAATGTTTTGTTTTCGAAAATTATCGATTTTTCTGGTGCTAATTCCATCATAGGTTTCAACAACTCGAACTCAAGCATGTCGAAGATCGTGGATGTGCACCGGCAGTCGAGTTCCGCTAACATCGCTGAACTTGCTTGCTAGTGCCCAAACCGACCTTATGTGAGACTACTTATGTGAATCGTTGGTCTTCGTGTGTCTCTAACCACCTCTTGTTGTGTCTGGTACTACATGGCTAAGCAGTGCTTCCTGGTCACCATTCCGATTGAGAAGCTTGGTTCTCTCAAAACTCCATCGGGCTTATTATCCCGTTTGCTTTTCTTCAAATACCCTGTATGCCATTCTCTATTCGCCTCGCCCTTCTGCCCCCCTCTTATCCAAGCGTTTTGGTCATCATTTCGACTGCTCATGTCATTTGAGGATCTCCAAGACCATATTCCTTTCCAGGCAAAGCCTGAATCCACTCAACTCATCCTCAAATTGACCCTAATGGCTCACGATATTGCAATCTACGAAACGGCGTTTCCATCCCCACTTTCTGGCGGCCTAGTTCTGGTTACCCTAAATCTTTTGTTTGGAGTCCTAATCTCTGATCTTTTCATTCCATGTTTCTTTATTCCTCATTGATTTTGTGTTAACTTAGGGCTATCCTCTCTCATGTGAGTGGCTGACAGACCAGTCTTATTTCAAAATTTCACTCAGTGTTCTTGGTAACCGTCCATAATGTGCCTCTCTGAATGTGCCTTTCTATATCGGATTTAAAGCTGTAATGGAGATTTCCCGATCGGGGTGCTGCCGCTTCTACTAGGGCGTCCAGGGTCTTACTCGCTGAGTCGAGCACTAGGTGAGGTAACCCGAGCACTTGCTTTGCTTAAAAAGCATTGCTTTGCTTAAAAAGCAGAGAGTTGGTGGATACCATCAAGGGATTCTATCATTCTACGTTAGTCCTACCAGATTCGCTCAGATGTTATAATCGAAGAAACAATTCACTAATAATAGAATTAAAAACCATGCCGTATTCTAGGGACCATCCTGTCGATAATACGAAATGACGGTATATGAAGCCATAAAACGGTAATGAGGGAAGCACAGTACAAAGGATGAGCATGTAGTGTGGAGGGCCCGTTGTTGTTTGTTGTAATTCGTGAGTTAGACATCTTGCTATGAACGACGGCTCAGCAGCTTACCTCAATAATATAATACTACACTAGCTCTATCCAAATACAGCTGTTTGCTAGAAATCTGAACCGTTGTCCCCTTAGCGAAAGGCTAGTTATTGTAACATGTTTCCTTTCATGAGGGAAAATTCTCTCTACACACGGCAGTGGCTCTTCAAAGACATGACGTTAATTTATTATCTGATTGTTGAACGAAATACAGCGTACTTTTCCACTAGACCATAACAAAAACCAAGGTTCCTGTTTATGGCCTAGGGAGGCCGTATTTGAGGTTTGACACTGATTCATAAAGGTGCAAATGTGAAAATTGAAAACTATAGAGGCCAAACAGTCATGCAATCTGCAGATGAAGGCACCTCACTTTCAAGTTCCAAAATCCAGCCTCGTTAAAGTAGCTACAATTTGTCTCTTTAACTCAAAGAACTCCTCAATAGAGGTTAATGGCAGATCACGTGACTGGATGCTACTATACATGTGGTCCCTAATGGATATTAGGCCCTCATATTCAGTAGAGACCACAACACTGGCATATGATAGGACAACGATCCGATTCTTTGTATCAGTAGTTTACTATTTTACATCGGTTGTTGTCTATAATTGTGCCCCGATCTATAGAGATATACTCCGATGTTCTATAGAAAGTTTCTTCTCTCTATAGATAGTAACTATTTTTAATATATACATCTTCTGTGTGTGTATACCCAGTTCGAGATGCCCAAGGCTCTGATCTCGAGGTCTAGGTATATTTTCGCGGAGACGTTTGGATTCAGAACAATACACAAAAGCGATTACAGTGTGTTAAATGTGCTAGAACTGAACCAACTGACAAACAAAGACTAAAAGAGACTTGGCCCCGATTCGTTTACGCCCGAGGCTCAAAGTAAGAAATGCCGAAAGATCCTCGCTCCAACCAGAGAAACCCACGCGTGAAACGAGACAAAATAAAGAAGAATCAAGGAACCCAAGCAATGTGTCGATGTGAGTTCCAGGACATAATTGAAGAGATGACGCAGTAACATAAGATGGCATTATAGTGTGGCTTTGGCGAGCAGAAGACGTTAAAGCAAGAAAAAGAGACAAGATGGGGTATCACATGCAATGTCAGTCGAGGATAGCGAGATCGAGCGAGTGTGCTTTTGTGTTCCATGATAATCAGAGTTCAGATGTCGTCCACGTAAAGTGGACGATATCGTAGAAATAGGGATTAGAAGAAGGGACTCGTATTAGAAAAAGAAAATCACATGTATGTCGAGTTGTGACGGGAGCTTGAATTAGATCCGCTGCTATAATCGCTAGTAGGAGTAGGGGAGTCCAACACAACTTGTTGACGAATGGAGATGATCCATTCGTGCTGTAGAAGTTCGGCGGCAGTGGCGCGGCGAGCGGGATCGCATTCGAAACAGCGGCGCACGAAGTCGATGCCCTGGTCGCTGAGTTGATCGCGAGATGGAAGCGCGGGCTGTTTGCCTTGGGCGATATTGTACATAATTGCCCACTCGTTGTCTAGCGTCGACCATGGCCGGCGCCCAGTTGCCATTTCCAGAACCACGCAACCGAGAGACCAGATATCCACAGCGCCTTGGCGGTTGTCTAGATTTGCAGCGTCGCCACGGATCACTTCTGGTGACATGTACATCGGAGTTCCTGTGGTAGTCTTCTGGTTCTTGCGCTGGTTCGCGGAATCTTTGGCCGGCTCCTTGAAACCGGCTCCCTGGGGGTTGTCTGCTGGGGCGACTGTGCGGCCCGAGCGGGCGATGATCTTGGCTGCACCGAAATCAACGTACTTAATGACACCGTTGTGATCGAGCAGGATATTCTCGGGTTTGATATCACGGTGCACGATATGGGCTTCGTGGAGATACGCTAGACCCTCTAGGAGTTGAAGAGCGTAGACCATGATGACCGTTTCGTCCTCGATACGCCCGTGCTCTAGCAAGCTAGCAAGCGAGCCACCTGAGCAGTACTCCATGAAGATGTAAACCTTGTCACGGTGCACCTCGATGCCGTGATAGGAGACAATGTTCGGATGATCAAGCACTTCAAGCACGCCCATTTCATCTCGAATTTGCTGGGCGATCTTGGGAATGAGCTGGGGGTCTTGCAGGCGAATTTCTTTGACAGCCATCAAATAGTTGCTGTCCAAGTTGATAGCCACATAGACAGAGCCAAAGGTGCCACCACCAATGAATTGGCCTTGCTGCCAACGCAGATTAACATTAGTAGCCGATGACGATAGCACGGTAAGTGACCGATCAGCCTCATCAGACCCTTCTAGCACCTTTCCTAGGGCCTGACGCTTCGCATCTTCCTCAATTCTCCTATCTTCAATCTCCACAATGCGCGCGTACCATGTCTCGCGAACGAGTTTTGATGCTTCCTCGTCGCTGGTGATCCGGCCAGCACCAATCTGTCGGGCTCCATTGCGTTCTTCCATACGTTTCTCATTTTTCGCCGCAAGGGAAGACCGCGCACCCATGATATCGAAATGAGAAATAAGAAGGGACATACACCCTGCCACTTTCAATCTGAAATCACTGAATTGGTCTTGGTCCATCGACAAAAGATGTCGGCTAGATGTGATCGCCATCGCAAACTCAAGGGCTGCCACTGCCCATTTGAAAGTTTTTCGGTCCGCAGCGTCACACTCATCGCAGATGAATGCGACCCAGTCGAGAGACAACTCCACTAGTCGGGCACTGTTCATAGCACGCCTATTAGCATCGACATAGTTGGAAGACCGTTTGCCAAACTCTGTTGCGAATGCATAGCAGGCCTGAATCAAATCGTTGTTCTCCCAGTGTCTCTCGTGTAGCTGATCTTTGATAATAGCCACACTGTCCATGATGGTCATGGACAATTTGAAAGAGATTTTCTTAATCTTGTTTAACTCGACGTTGACACGTCCAAGATTTGCACGTTGTTCAATGACCATATCTAGTTGAATGCCCGTGAGTCGTGCGAGCTCCACACGCGCATTCTGCAGTCGTTCTTGCATGCCTCCAACAACAATACGTAGCTTGCCCAGCCGCACATCAGTCGGATGTTCCAAAAAATCCATTTGCATTTCCTTTCCTGCCCAGGCAAGGGGCCTTTCGGGCCGGATGGCCAAGACATAGGGAACATGGACATCTTGGGTTGGATCGTCTTCTTTGAAGGAGGTAGACAGGATACCCTGGATATCGGCGGGACGGTTCCACAATGCATGGTGTGCAACCAGATATACCCCTTTCTGCCCGACGGATGTGGTAGAGGTGACAAGGAAATGGTCAGAAATTAGTAGTGCCTCAAAGAAATCATAAGCAACGTCGGTCGTGATATTGTACTCGGTAGCGTTTTCAAACAACTGGCACAGAAACTTGGAGAATCGATAGAGCTTGCGCTGGCGAATGCGCGTTGAATCCAAAATGTTCTTGTATCGTTTGTCCATATCCTGTACAGTTTCTGTGTGTCTCGGGACGAGCTCGCGTTCAAAATGAATCATGAGACGCTGCAGTGATCTGGCAGTGAGGGCACTGTTGTTCTTGTTAGTTTTGATAACAGTACAAAGCACAGGGACGTTACCTAAATTGTTCGGCCACCTCAATATCTCCGCCGTCAAGCCGACAACCGATATCGTAGGAAAATCCCCATTCCTGCTCCAGAATTTCAGCCTCCTTGAAAGTGTTCTTGTTGGCATTCAGCTTCCAGTTGAGGAGCCGGAAATAGTATTTCATAGCATCCAAGACCGAATTGTCAAAGTTCTCATCGACACATGGCGGCAAATCCCAGCCGGGTTCTGGCCTCGAGACTTCAAGGTAACGGAACTTTATATCGACCGCCACTTTCATCAGGATTTGGAATTGGGAAATCATCTGATCAATTAAAATTGGGGCTTGTTGGGCTGGGTCTTTCATATTTTTGGCATAGGACAGACGAACTCGAATGATTTCCTGGATCAACCGAGA